GGCTGGAAGTTTGGTCGATAAAGACAAAGCACGTCAGTGAAGGAGACTTTTGTACCACATTCAGCTCGGTACTGCTTTGCGTTTGGATTAGCATTTTAAATCGTTCAAAGGTGTCGGTGACTGACAATTAAGTGGATTTGAACCTGGTTTACAAACAGGTCTCGAAAGGTATTTTCACTTGGGAAACGGTGATGGAATGACTGTTCCCTGGAAGGTTGTGTGGGGATTGGCTCTTGATGCTAAGGCCTTTCATTCTATCTTTTAAAAGGGTGATTGGGATGAAACTATAAAAGTCCCAGCAATAACGTTTGCAGGAATTATAATGGGAGGGAGTGATGGATAAACTGGACAACTGCAGCCTCCACACAGAAAAGTGAGGGTGATCCTCAGGTAAAGAGACAGAGAGGCACCGGCTGCAAGATGGTCTCTAAGTGCCTTTATTTGACACTGGGGAGACCGTCGTAGGAAACCTCTGGCTGGTTTTGGTACCCACTGCTTAAGGAGTGTGTAAAAAACAGCCACAGAGGAGATAGATATAATTGAAAGGATTAGAAAGATGGGAAGGAGCTGAAGAGCCCCTTCCAGTCAGGTTAGCAAGAAGTTCGGAGGTGACTGGGTCCTGGTCAAGGGCCTCTGACATTCAGAAGAGAGACCCGAGACTGGAGCAGGGGGTTCCTGTGCAAAGACAGCGCAGAAAGAGAGCCCACAGCTCGCGTCCGCGGCGAGAGGAGTTCAGGAGAGACAGGAGACCCCAGTGCATGCGGATCTAGAAAAGTGCCCAAGGATAATTAACCCCTCCTCCCCAATTACTGAGGACTGTGATGAACTCCCCATCAGCAGTGAACTTTAAATCAACCAACTCACCTAGCGAGGTGCCGTACAGGTAGCGATGCCTTTGCAGATGGAACCGGCCACCCTTAATGCCGGGGGCCGGACCGGTGGAGCAGAGCAGCCCTGGTCTCGGCACACGAGTTAGATGCAGCCCGAACCCCGGTGACGTTGGGGGACCGACGTTAAGTGAAGGGACAGCAGCCGGTCGCCCGTGTTGCTTCCCAGCTTCCCAGGCCCTGTCCCGGTACCTGCTGGAGCGGCAGAGGCCGAACAAAACAAGACCCCATCAGTGAGCCGGGGTGGGCTGGCACCCGCTTCGAGGGGTGTAGCTTCAGCACCCAAGAAGGGCGAGAACAGCCCCCAAAACAGCTCAGTCTGGGGAAACCGGCGCGTCGCAGCAAGGCGGGTGGGAGTCGGAGGGAGCCCGACGCAAGACTTACAGCGCGGACCCATCAAGGGCATCAACCGTCCCGTTGGCGCCGGCTGCCTGGTCCGGGGAGCGGGGGATGCCTCGGCTCTGCAGCAAGCGCCACGCTTCACCCGCTCAGACCTTTTAACGCACCGACCGGTTTGGTACCCGCAGCCTCTTCTCCAGTCTCCAGCTGAATTTGGGCACAGGCGGCCTTTCTCCTAAACCGAGGTCTCTCCCTGAGCAGCCTCGGGGACAACCCTTCCCACCCAGCTCCCACCTCTCCTGGAGCGGCTCCGGAGCGGAGGCTCCAGCCCGGAGGAGCCCAGCAGAGGAGGTTTCACGGGGACGACCGCGGCTCGTGGCACACGAACAAACCAAAAGGACCCTCTTTGCAATATAAATTTGTTTTTATTGAAGCAGCAGTCACATGACCTCGCATCTAGCCTTTAGGATAGCGACAGAATGGATTCGGCCAGGTCAGCCAGCCCAAAAAAGGATTTTTATTTTTTTTTTTTCTTTTTTCTTTTGCGCTAATAGACATGTCATGTTTAATACATACATTATCCAGTACCGGAAACCCAACTCAGAGATAGCTACGTGCTGATTTGCTGGAGGAACGGTCCACTGGACGTGGTCTCGACAAACTTTACAGATCACCACCAAATAACATTACTAATGGGATCAAATGATAAAAAAAAACCAAAAACAAACCCAAACAACCATGAGTGCAGGATTCATCAAAGCCAGCAGTTTACACAGGTTCTTAAGTTCGTATCTATAGGTGGACGGTAAAGGAAGATTGCTTGGTTTTAATTTGAAATATTTATGTCCCAGGGTTCCTCTCTCCATCAAATCAAACGGTATCATAGACAAGCTGGCATCTCTTGAAAAATAGCATGGAATAACACAGCTCATTTAAGAAAACATGCTTATTTCTTGTGGTTTTTCTTTTAATTATTATTACAAAGATTCACGTCCACCTATTCTTGCGGAGTGGAAAGAGGCATGAGGGTGAGGAACAAGGGGTGGAGAAGGGAGAGAGGAGGAGGAAAGAAAGGGGCAAGTTTTTGAAATAAAGACCACACACTTGGTATTTTTTAAATTTCATTTCCAGGCTAACCTACTTTTTATTTAATGCAAATTACAGTACCAGTTAACTATTTCCGAACCGAGTCACACAGAACAAAACGTATTTACAAGGGGAATGGGGCGGGGGAAATAATAAAACATTAAGCATACTTTCCACAAAAAAAGTTTATATTTAAAATGAAAAACAAAAAAAAATCAGTCACAGAGGCATTCAAGTAGTAATAATGTTATACAGGTTTTGCTTTTCCTTTAAATCAAGACAGATTTGCACAAGTGTATGCAATAGTTTGTATACAACCCACAGTCCTTAATATATATATATATTTTTAGATTTCTGTTTTTAAGATGGAAGTGGTCACGCTAATTGGTGTGTACAGGCCCAAGTGATCCATCAGCAACACATTAATGAACGCAAATTTTACAGGCAAGCAAATTATATATATATAAATATATTTTATATATATATATATTAAAAATAAATTGAGAAAGACCAACACAAGGAAGCTACTTTTCTCGAGCTAACCCCTTAGGTACTGTTTTCCTTTCCTGTCGTTTTGCCGTTATTGCAGTGTTGCAAAACGAAGCCAACTACGACCAGAACCGGCTGAGAGCCCCGTGGAAATCAGCTGCCACCCCAGGGGTACCCGCTGGCAGTCTCCGAAAGGCAGAGCCCGGACCGAATACCCTACTGTGCTTTTCCTCATCGGCTTTTCCTTTTTCTCCGCGGTGGCTGAGGTTCCTAGTACAGGAGTACGAGTCTGACAGGCTGCTTGACTTCTACAAGTACTGAAAACCGGGGGGAAATTTTAAGTTGCGAGTCGCAGGCACCTGCCGTTATTTTAGGTAAAGCTTGGCTTCGAAATAAGGGGACAAAGTGTTCGGGGATCTTCTACCAGCCAATTTTTTTTTTCGGGTTTTTTTTTTTTTTTTTTTTTTTTTTTTTTTTTTTCCCTAGCAAGGTAGATAAGTTTAACATTAAAGAACACCAGCATCTTGATCGGGTGTCCGTGGGGGGAGACAGACTGCGATCCAGTCCGGCTCAGAGACCCACGCCAAGGCAGGGCTGACGTAAAGGACAGATCAAGACCAGACTGGGTTAAAAAACAAGCCTGAAAGAGAGTAAAAGAAGAGAGGGACAGCTCTGAGCGGACTGTCACCAACAGCTTGGCATCACTGACCTTCGTGTCATCAGAAAGAAAGTGCAGCCTCTGCTTCACTGGAATGAACACGAGATGCTTCGAAATAAAACAGCAACCTTTGGTTTGGTAAAGAGTTAAGTGTTTTCCCATTCAAGACAATCTTAGGTGGAATACTAACAAGGTAGTAAAACACAAGCAAACTAGTTTTAGAAACAAGGCCTTCGTGCTGGGCACAAGAAATCAAGAGTCATGTTAAACTTATCATCTCAAGAAAACAAAAGTGACTTTGGGGAACGGTGTGGGAAAAAAAAATAGAAGAAAGGCAACAGAAAGTCCCCCCGGCAGAAAAAAAACCACCGCGGACTCCTACAGCGCAGCATCCCTGGGGGGTGCGGGGGGTTTCCCTCCCCGGGGGTCCTTTCTGCTCCCCGGGGCCCGACCGCTGCCCCCGGCACAGCCGCAGGGAGGGTGGAAAGGCCGAGCCTCGGGGAAGGCGCTGCTGCTGCTGCCACCCAGCCGACTTCTGGGTGCAGGATTTTGGGGGGGGGAGGGGGGGGGGAAGAGACGAGCAAAGTCTAAACGAGCTGCTAGGGCAAGTGTCCAAACGAAACCGGTCGCTGCTAGCGGGAGGAGGAGAGGGCAGGGTGGGCAACTTGGGAGAGATCCAGAACAAAGCCACGGCTCCAATGAAATGAGTGACGGCGGAGACGGTTTCCTTTCGTTCCGCTACTGATCAGGGTATCACCGAAACCTTACAGCACTCAAAGAGTTAGAAAGCAGGGGGTGGGGAGCAAAGATGCGGGTTTGGGGTGGGAGGCATTGTTAATAAAGGAGGGGGAGGGAAGAAAAAAAAAGAAAAAAAAAAGGGAAATAAAATTCAAAAAATCATGGAAGCGAAGGCACTCCAAACTATATAGATACACTATACATCGCTAGAGTTATTGTTACAATAATACAGGCCGGTACCTACTGTACAGAGTTAAAACTATATGGCTTTAAAAAGCTCGTCTACATTTTGTCTGATTATTAAACAGAATCACTGCCCTGAACGGTAACTTTTTGCTCATTAATAACAGTTCCTGGGTCCACATATTTACATACAAAACAATAAAACTCAAAATTCAAAAACAACCAAAAATAATAATGTACAAGCTTGAATTTGGTGAGGAGCTTTGTTTTTTTTTTTTGTTGTTGGTTTTTTTTTGTTTTTTTTTTCTTATTTACAAAAAAGGTTATTCAAAGACCTGGATCTAACTTGTATAAAAGAGTGTGTGATCCTGCCATGATCCTTGAAAAAAAGAAATAAAACCAGAGGGGTGCCCCCAACCCTCCCCCCAGCCTAACACACACACACACACGCACACATGCACACACACACAAGACACACAGAGACGCCGGCACAGTCACGAAACCAGAGAGAAAAGCTCTTAACTCCCCTCCACCAGTCTGAAGCAAAAAGATAAAACAAAAAAGAAGAAAAGCCACATTTCCTGGCACAAGCAGCAATTTTTCTTCATTATTTTTATTACTTTTTTTTTTTTTAAAGACTCGGTAATTTACTGCCTCCAAATAACAGCGTCTGTGGCTGATGCTTCAGCAGTCTCGCCTATACAGCAGATCCATACCCTGCCACTGTCCTACTTTTTGAGTTTCCTGCATCTATTTGGATCACTGGGTCAACCAAGCTCCTGCACTTACCTTCCGGGACACCGACTAGCCGAGCTCTCGCGTTAAGATGCTCTTCAACCCTTTCTATTAAGTTGCAGGTAATGATTTGGAAAGCCTTCCGTTTCTAAACGTGGGCGTGCTTTCCTTTGCGGCCAGCCAGAATTTAATGACAGCTAAAAAGCTTTAAAACCTTTTTTTTGTTTTGTTTTGTTTGTGTGCCCAACAGCAAATCGCCACAGGACTGATGAAAACATGAGGGTTTTATCGGTTTCACGGTAGGTGGTCACTCACCTCTTGAAACAGCTCCTGCCTCCCTGAACCCTCCCCGAGTGTCAGGCAGGAGAGAGAGGGCAGGGCTTTTGTCAGCTCCAGGGCTGCTAAGAGACAGTTTTCAAAAAAAAAAAAAAAAAAATCTCCCATGTCAACAGCATAAAAGGTACAAGAGGAAACACACCGAGCTCGTGAGCAAAACCCCTGCCGCCCCCGCGGCTGCCGAGCTTGCCGAAGCCGCCACTGCCGGCAACCGCCGGGCCACGCGAAGGTCCGCGCGTTCCCGAAAAGCAACCGCTTGCCTGAGAGATCCGCAGGTCAAATAACAGCTCGATAAGCACCAAAGGCGACTACGGTTTCTCTGAAGGAGGATAAGGGTGCAGCGGACACCAACCGCAAGCCTACGACAAGATCGGGTCTCCAAAAGTCTCGTTTCTACGCCGCGGCTGCGTCCGGCCGCTCACCTGACCCTTTCCCGAGGAATATTGCTTTGACTTCAGGAAAAAGAGACGTGGATGCTCACGCCACGCGCCGTCGCAGGGAGGAAACCCGGACCCTGAACAGATGGACTAGAACAAGCATTCACCTCACGCTTCAGTCAGACTGTTTCGAGATCGTAGACAAAATAAAAAAAGCAGTATTGTATCTATGTATACATGTATATATTTATATAATATATATACACACACACTCATATATAGCCAGCTTTCCTACAAGTCAGCAGGTACAAATTACTGTTGAGAGCACTCGGATGTGTATTTTATTAATATTCTACCAATGTAAAAACATAATGGCGACGTGGCAACGCGCATCAATAAATAGAGATCAAAAAAAGCAAGAGGTTAAAAAAGATGAAATTAAATACAGATTCTAGCTGTGGATTTAAAATCGAAACTATCGGAGAATGTGGCATCCTGCAAGTAAAAACTGCAGTTAAAAAAAATATTACAAAATAAACCAGTAGACTGTTACAGTTCACATTATAAACCCTGGTGTCCTTTTCCTGTACGCACCTTGCAAAAGGGAAGCCTGTTCAAATCGAGAGCCGGGGCGGGGCGGGAGGAGGAAGAAAAAAAAAAAAACAAACCCACCCAAAACCACCAAGTTTTCACAGTGGCCGCTTTCCAAAAAGTCCCTTAATGTCCCCGGCTGGGCCCCCGCCCCCTCCGAGGGTTTTGTTCGTCCGCTCTTCTCTGCTGAAGATGGGAGCCGACCCACCGACCGGCCGCCTCCGCCGGCCGTTTTGCCCTGCACCGGCCCGCGACGGGGGGCAGGAGCTCCGGCTGGGCAAAGGAGCTGCTTCGGTAAAGCTAACCGCTCGTGTTCGTGCATGTGTGTGTATTATATTATATATAACCCACTGGGGTAAGACTTTTCCCGTAATGAAGCTGCAGGTTTCTTCATCGCTAGCACTGATTTTTTAGAATGGAAGGCTTCCACTAGCGGTTCAAGCCTTAGACACACGGCAAACCCTCCCCCCCCCACCCCCGGCAACCTATTTTCCTACCACGTCGCCTGCTCCCCATACCGAGCCGGGGCAGTTCTTCAGACAACCTGGGATATGGATTCACTGACAAGAAACGCTGAGCTCTGTTGAATGACCCCTGCTAAGCTCCCGACCAAATTCAAGCTGTGCACTACATCAAAGTCCGAAACTTCACTTAAAAAGAAAAGAAAAAAAGAGGTTAAAAAAAAAACACAAAAAAACCCGAACTTCAGCAGAGAATGAGGTTTGGGGTTTTGTTTTGTTTTTTTTCCTTCTTTCTGTTGTGGGAGGGGGGCATGAGGCAAGAGTCCTGGTTCTGAAGTACACAACAGCAAACTTCCAACATGAAGAGATTGTCGAGGGGAGAGACATTGGTGTGTTGTATTGCTCCGCTTTCCCTCCTCCCCCCACCTAGTCCCCTGCCCCGGACACCCTGCAGAGTGAGAATACAATGAAACTGGTTTGTATTTATAGATATTTTACAAGGTTAAATAAGAACAACAATAATAATAATAAAAAATTGAACACTAAAATGAACAGGTTGGTTGGTTTGTTGGTTTTTTTTGTTGGTTTTTTTTTTTTTTCCTCTTTTTAATTTTCTTTCCAAATGTGACCAGTGTTGCTGAGCAAGACTCAAATTACTGGTGATTTTTCCTGTGCAGCTGGCTGCTTGGTACCGGTTCAGGTGGAGTTGGAGGCTGATGCTGTAGCTACACTATTGGTCTGAACTCGTTCTCCTGCGTTAACATCTGCAGCAAACGACAGGCGAGAGGAAGGGAAGAGAGAAAAAACAACCAGTATTACCTCCAAAATACAGACACATTTAGAACAACAGCTAGGACATTCTCCGCACAGGGAAACCCACGACTCCCACCGAGATGCCATTTGATTAGGATGCTCTTCCTGACTTCAGGGGGTGCAGATGGACCACTTCGGTCCGGGGAGAGGGTGGGAAGGGGGTCTTTAAGCAGGACAAAGGCAGCCTCGAGGGCAGAGGGTTGCAGGCCAGAATGCGAACACCCAGCTGGGCTCTGGATTTTGCAGGACGTAACATTGCCCGTGGTTACACTCCAGCAACTCTAACGACAAGACGAGGCACACTCGCGTCGCTAACGCATCAAGTATCTGCGGCTGCTACGAGGTTTCACGTTGGTGCTGAAGTTTCGTATCGTTAGCCTTCTTGTAACAAAGCTGCCTGTTAATTGTGTGAATGAGCGCAGACAATGAACGTGACAAGCCTGCTTCCCTGGCAGAAACAGCTTGTGTGTTAATGTGTAATTCATGCACTTGTTGCCTCAGAAAACATCTTCCAAGCCTACTGCTTTATTCTGTGTTGCTCAACCAAACAGTGGGATCTGCCACCCCCTGAACTGCTGAAGCAGACCAACGTCAAGGCCTGAAGCCAGTCATGAGGTTTACGGAAGCATACGACATCGTTAGAGGATCGGGTCTCTGCGGTAAATGGTCTCCAACACTTTGTCTTCCCTTCTCTGGGAGGGACAGTGCTCCGCAGAGAGACAAGTCATAGGATCACGGGCACATGTCAAAATGCATTCCAAGAAAACACAGTGTTTGCAAAGAAATACCAAAAGCAAATTCACTGTAACTGTGTTTTCAGAGGCCACATGCATCAGGTGTTTTCTCTAAAAAACCCTGTTCTTCCTATTAGAAGAGTTGTTAGGAAAAAAAAAAAGCATCAACTTCATCTGGAACCATCCTACATAGCATCTAATTAGCACGGTCACAAAAAGATAAGTGCATGAATGGTTAAACACATAAAATACTCAACACAATAAATACAAGATGGGAAAATGATATTAAGTGAGGTTTTCTGCAAGAGACCGTCATGCATTTCTCCCACTTAATTTAAGTAAGGTTAACTGCAAAGCTATCAATACTGCAACAGGAGGAAAAAAAAAAAAAAGAGAGGTATTATCTCAGTACAGAAGAGGGCAGACTGGGCAAACAGTGCATTCGAAAAAACACGGGGAAAAGGGCTCATAAAAATAAAGAATAGATTTACTGACCTCAGACTGAAGGACAGTATGACTAGCATAAATAATAGACATGACAAAATGCAACTGGTGGGCGGCGGGGATGCAATAATACTTCTCCAGCACAGAAGAGCTGGCGAGGCAACGCAGCCAGGCAATGCTCTACAGTCACCTGTGAACGAAACCCCTCTCCTCTCCTGCCAGGCTGACCTGACCATAGCTGGAAGTGCAGCCATGAGCAAAGGCAATGAAATGAATGAGAGTCTGGAGACGGGCAGCACTTGCTGAGTGACAAATTAAGTAACATACACAGACAACGGCAACAAAAATAGGAAATCAAATAGCAGCATCCAGGAATACAAGGGACAAGTGGGAAGAGAGGATGATGCCCATCTGAAAAGGAAATACTGCGACAAGTGTGAGGGAAGAAAGGGAAATCCTCGTGTGGGCAGAGGATGCAAGACAACTGCTCTGGGAGTTTCCCATTCCCTTTCCTCTCACCCCAAATTAATTGCAACCCCTCCCTCACAAAGGAATGACCACCATGACAAAAAAAAAAAAGCTCACACAATTATAGCACTAAGACAGCATGACAACAGTACCAGTGTTGTTTGGAAAGCTGGCCTTGCATGTGAGAGATGCCCTCCTACGTGGAGAATTTCCCCAAGGAGCAACTCCCAAATCCCACATGCATGCAGACCAACTATGACCACGGAAATCAAAAATGACCCAGCCAGACAGCTAATAGTTTCCACGTCCTAAACTCTCACTGTGCCTGTTCTAGTTTAATTTTCAGGTATGGATAAACTCCAGTTAACGCAACATCTGCCATGCCTGATGTGAGCAGTCCAGCTGGAGTCTGTACTGTTGGCAGAGGATTTCTCTGTATGTGTACAGAAAGTGCTTGTATTTCATTTGCTGAAATGCAATGTGCCTTTTGATCTATTCCTGAAGACAGCAGAGGCTGAAATAGTTATCATTACATTGCTACTGAGCAGAGATAAAAAAAAAAGAGGAGATGGAGCTACTTCATGTAACATATGCTCCTTTTCTATCATCACTCTAATGGGGGAGTTCCTGAGAAATATATGTGCCACATGTTAAAAAGGAAATAAACCAGGTGATGCAGCTCAAGACCATTTACATGGAGCTTTTCACAACAATATAGAGAAGTCCACCCAGGCTGGGACAGAGAGCAGAGCCTACTCAAGGCTGTACTGGCTCTGAACCTGCAAGAAAATGCAGTATTTTGACATTCCAGCTTGTTCTTTGACTCTGCATCAACAGAACATTTGGGGAACAAAGACAGGCTTGTTCCAGAATATCTTTGCTGAAGCACCAGAAGAAGAGCACAACTGGAGTATGAGGGTCTCGGGACATTCACCACTTCTCACCATGAGAAATCAGTATTTGGGCATAAGAGAAGAAAATCTAGGCCTTCAGTGATGCTGCTAAAACCTCTGCTTTGCAAAGCAGCCGCCTGTGCTGCTGTGGAGCGAAGCTAGGAGCTGACACGCAGCTTCCCGGTACGGGACAGATGACTACGCAGGAGGCTGCGGCTTGAGGTCAGGGCAGCCTCCTTGTCCTAAACCACCCCCCTGACACCTCTGCCTGGGCAGGCAAAGAAACCACATTAGGGCTTAAGTGTCAGCCGCTTCTTCCAAACAGAGGGCAAAAGTATCTCTCATCAACGTAGAGCACCTCCTCCAATTCAGCTTTTCCCTCTGAGGAATGCCTCGGCTCTCTTGCAGGGTACGTGGCACTCTGTAGGAACCTCCCGGAAAGGAGAGATGGGGCTACAGTTCAGAGAAGGACAGAGACGCCAGCTCAGTCTGAGAAAGCCCATTAGCACTAATGACAGCATTAGCTGGTTGGATCTGTAGTGATGACAGACCGTGCTGCTCATCTGCGAGGATACAGAAACGGAACTACCACCAGCCTGGGAGTCCTCACAGGAGAGCTGAGCAGACAAGCCAAGGAGGAGAAAAGCCCGGTTTTCCTATTGTGCCTGCCTACGGATGTCGAAATCCAGGGCTCAGAGCAAAACTGGCGAGCTTGAAACATGCAAGCTCTACTCCTCTATCATGGATTCACCCCAGTGCTGAGCTTGCAGAAGCCTGAGCAAATTGCTTGCCCCTCTTCTCCTGATCAAGGAATTGAAGTTTTCCAAAATTCTTTCAATGGGAATACCATAAATGTGCTAAATCTTATTTTATGGAACACTGTGGTCGTTTTCAACTGCCACACACTGGCAGGTAACACCAGCTCTAATCTGTTTTGTTGCCGAAAGTTCAGGCACACCATCGCATTTGGGATTACATGGGATCAACGCAGCAGGATGCCTAAGACGATGACCCCAGCATCCCTGCTGGCGCAACTTCCCCGCAGATGGCAATTACGCTCTTCCCATCTTAATGCTGACTAACGGAGGTAACTACCGCTGCTGGCTGTTCCAGGAAGAAAAACACGTAGTCACACAAGCAGATACGCATTTGGCTTGGTGTGCACGCTCCTCTCTCAGATGCTGTGGCTACACAGCTATGAAACCATCCTCCTCCTCTTCCTCCAGCTAGATCAAGTCAGCATCCGCACAAATAAAACTGCACTGGCGTTTTTAGTCAACGGCCACTATAATTCACAGAAAGCTAGCACACCGTTTCAAGCAGGAGCCAATAACTCCCACCTTCCTTTTCCTCCACTTTGCTTTAGACATGCCACTAATATCACAGAGAATTTCTCACAAACATTTAGGTGAATTTACTAATGGTGGTGCAGCAAGGCTTCATACTCCCACTGCAAAGCCAGGTTCCATTAGTACAGCGAGTCCAGCTTTATGCCTCAAGACAAGAGGAAATTTACAACAAATAAATTTTTTAACACTCAAAAATTACTGACAGTAATTCCCGTGCACTTAAGAACATGATCCCAGGATTACTGCTGCATTGTGCTATCGAAATCATCACTGTGAATCTATCAGTTAACAAAAATTACTTGTTTTGGATAACTTTTAAAAATGCAGGTGTGTCATATTGGTTAGCACAAGGGCTAGTATTGCTGGCTTGATGAAACCTGCACCGTTAATGTGGTATGTTGAAAAGCCAACCTTTCCATCTCTTAACACCACACCACTGCTAAGTCTCCTGGCAAACACTACTTTGCTAGACTTCAGACAAATAGATCTCATTTTTCTAGTTATTCTCTAACTATGACCCTGCCTTGGTGCACGATAAAAAGCAGTGCTCATCAAAAAGCTGGGATTTTGCCATGGCTGCATACCAACATGACAGCTATGGAAACGGAGTAACTGTCTGCAAGCAGGTAACAACCACCCACCTGGATTATCTGCAGTGATGAACGAGTACACTGCATTTCAATGTACGTGCACCTTTGCCTCAAGCCTATGGAGTAGGCAACTATGCTGGACGTAACAACGGACACTTGAACCTCAGTATCAGTTCTACTTGCTAGAGGGAGACAAGAGTTACATGTAACTGTAATTCACATTATTAGTGTGCAACTTGCTTTGCCCTTCGAATTAGCTTGAGAGCTACATTTTGTTGCATCATCACCACTCAAAAAAGTAGTTTCTGAACTTGTACTGCTTAGTCCCACAGGCAAACATTTTGCAGAAAAGCCTCCTGCCTATCGGGCTGCCCTGGGTTAGGTGGGAGAGTTGCTCCCATGCTGCGTTAGCAGCTACTGAAAAACTAGAAATTTACTGCTCTGGGATATGCAGGGGGTATAGGGAAAGAAGGGACCTCTCCACGAAAATCTCTTCCTAAGTGTAGCATCAGCATGCAAAGCACAGCAGATTAACATAACCTCATATAGGACCTAATCCTAAAAATCACAACCCTGATGAAATGCCCACCGCCTTCTGCAAGAACCCCATGTGAGTAAGAAGCTACCAACCAGCTGTGCTGCAGAAATCCAAAGCTGCAAGTTGCCCAATATTGAGCTTAATTTCACAATTTCTTTTCAAGCTGCAAGGATATTTTTTTGTGGGTTTGGGTTTTTCTGTTGTTGGTTTTTCCGGGGTTTTTTTTTTTTTTTTTTTGTATACTTCACATTTGAGACTCAGCCTAATGCATTTTCCCCTGACATGAAGTCTTGGAAAGTGCTGGGTGAAAACAGATTTCTTAACCCCATTTATTCCTCAAGACTTGTATCTTGGCAAAGAGAACTCCTAAAAAGGCATGAAAGGGATATTAAGCGAAACAATGTTTTTCAGAAGGGCTTAAAATAATTTTCCATGTTTTTATTTTGTAGTTTTTCAATCACTTTTACTACTTTCTGTGCTTTTTTTTCTCACTCATTGTTGAGCAACAGATGCACATAAAAGGGAAACAGAGAACATGACTATTTGCAAAATACTGCCAAGTGTATGAAACAAACATACTAAATTTGAAAATAGCAATTTTGCTTTTTCCTAAATTCAGAGCACATAAACTGTACCGGCTGTATCTTTTATCTACTGCTACTACGTTTTCAGAGAGAAGCCTCCTCTTTCAAACCCGGGTGCGTCTGTCTGTCCTGGAGTATGAAAATGCTTTCCATACAGCACTGGCTGGACCAAGCGCATCAGATACCAGGTAACCGTCCAGCACATCAACCTGCAAATGCTTTCCCGCATGTTTCAAGAATACCTTTTTAATTAGGGCTTCTCCTTATCAGCTATCCCACGCTGAGTAAGTCTCCTGCACCTCAAAAGGGGGTCACAGCCCTTGACAAGTCGGACTGACGCGTACGTGGGATACGTATGGAAACACACCCATTTTGCAGCCTGCCTCGCGTTGCCCAAGCCCCGAGACAGCCAACTGGTGTGCTGACTCAGCGCTGACTCAGCAGAAGAGTGCCATACGCTGAATCACCTCTGCCACATCCTGCAGCACCTGGGATTTTCTTTGGGAGTCTCCCGACTGATATTACCCGGCTTTTAAGCTTTCAGTGGAAACAGAATACAATATGGAGTGGCTACAGGCCAACAGCGAGCTTTTAAAAGGTTTCTGACAGAAGCTTGAGTAAGAGCGCGAGAGGCAAAAAAGAAATTCACTCAGCGCTGGCCAAAACCCAAAAGCATCTGCCTGGCGCCCGAAGGTGACACAAGCAAACTCGGTAAGAAGCAACTGCAACTACTCAGATGAGGCAGTGAGCATGCTGACTGAACTCCCTAACTAGACTTTTAAGTGCTAATGCCTTTGGGGAAAAAATCCTCTCCATCCACGCTCCACGGAGGCCACGTGTACTGAGCTAGCTGTTTCTTCTCTTCCTAGGCATCACAAACTCATGCTTCCAACTCGGTAATCATTTCAGACTGGCTGAGCGCTCAGAAATTAGGTGCAAACCAATCCACAAGGATTGCTAAAAACCAGGTGGGATAGTGATTTTTTTTAAATTATGGAAGTCTGAATGAGAAGGACCAGACTAAACAGTCAAATGCAGCGTTTAAGTGCCCTGGGTTAGGATTTGGGTTGGTGACCACAGCCAGCACCCGAACGACCACCTACCAAGACCGAGATTCTGGCGATGCTGGATCGAGCCCTTCCTCCCCGTTCACCCCGAGGGCTGAGGCGGCTCGCGAGCCTCAGCGGAGGGAAGGTGCCTGGGCAGGGGGAGCGAGGGTGGGGGGGAGGCAGGCAGTTGCATGTTCTCACCTGAGGCCGCTGTAGCGTTTGTAGGGGTTGAAGCAGCTGCTTGGTTCCGGGCATGAGCAGGGATGAGGATCGAAGCCAGAGATGGGTTACTTGACAGTTCTGGAGGGGAGGTGGAACAAACAGAGTTAGCTCATCGTCCACGAAGAGCCCCGCGTGCAGGCTCAGCTCCTTGGGTTTCCCCCCGTAACGGCAACCTCAGGTGAAACGCATGCCCTTACAGCCAAAGGTCACGTTACGTTTTCTTCTTGGCTGACCAGCGAGGGGAAACCACAGTGATATTCGGCAAGGCAGTCTCCAGAGCCAGAGTGTCAAAACTACATGTAGTGGTGCATGGGAATTATTTCCTAGAGAAAGACAGCATCTTGGGAGTTAGCAAAGAACCAGCCAAGCCTGTTGCTTATCAACGGCCTGAAAACGCTGTTACCTTCCGAGCGCTGGAAGGGTTCCCTTCACAAACCCACTTGCAATCAGTCTCAAGGAGAAGCCTGATAACAGTGGTGCTGCTTTGGGCACTGGTTCAGCAAGCAAGCAGCTGCAACAGTTGCTCCAAGAGCTTCAGGGATTTAGTTCTTTGGCTCACTCAAGCATCACTTTCTCAAGGACCCAGGAACCCAAGACCAAGCTCTCACAGCAGCCTCCTTGGGCGATGCCGAGAAGAGCTGACGTCTCCTTTAAAAGCACGGGGAAAGGCAAGGGGAATTGGTCTGCTGGGCAATTTAAATGGACAACAAAATGATGCAACCACTCTTTCTGAAGACATTAAGCAAGGAAAAAATAGTCATGTCTTTTAGGCTACAAACCTAATATAGCTTCGATGTGTATCAGAATGAGAAATAGGCATCTTACAGCCACAACTGTGGGAGGATTAAGGGCGACACATTGCCAACAAATGACAATCTTCTGGCACCCTTTCAACAGCATCTAGTGCCTCACAGAAGGTGGGACTGAGCCGAGACAAGACAGGTCCTGTTTGTTTCAGAAACAGGAGTGACTGGCTGTCTCTTGAGAAAGCAATATCCGGTGAAAAAGATGTTAACAGTCACCTCGCGGAAGGAGACTGATGACTTTTGGAGCTCCAGGAGGTCATCTGGAGGAGAAACGAGAATAGACAGCTTTTTACGTAAGACCTCCAGATGGCAAGGGCTCTACAGAAACCCATCCAAATCATGCCATGGGTTCAGTAAGGGGGTTTTGTACACAGTCTTAAGTTATTTGGGCTCATTTTTAAGAGCCTATTGCTTTTCTTTAACGCAAGCTTTAAACTTAGGGCCTAAAGGGATCAGTAGTCTACTTGGCAATTTTTTTTTTCCTCCATTAAGTTACACTAAGTTTCTTTACTGCTGGGAGGGCAAGGTGCAGAAGACTCTCACCTCCTTCCAAGCCTCTTATTACTACACATTTTGAGACTGTGTTTCAGCACTTATGAACACAAGCTCCAGTCTACAACCAAACCAAAGTTGCTACCTTACCTGCAAGCCATCCAGCCTATCCTGTGATACTCCATTCAGGTCTAAGCAGACCTAGCTAGTCCTTCTAGAAAGCCTCAACACTCACAGCATTTGTACAAATACTAATCCTCAAATTCACGTGGAAATAATTCAGAATTCATACATTCATAATAGAATTCAGAATTCATAAGTCTCCATTTTAAATGGAAAAATAAACTGAAGAAACATGAATCCTCAAGTGTCAAAGCTGAACACAAATGATAAACCTATACTTTAATACTACCTTGGGTATTAGCTGCTGCGTGCTAGAAAATGTTGCTCCTTTAGTATTTTTTCCAAATCTGTTTCTCAAATCTGTTATTACTGGGAATCTGCTGTTTACCTTGCTCTTTCTGTCATCCCCGCGTTATTTTCTGCTCATCACTGGCAGCAATATGGGGCTGTGACCCAAACAAAAGCAGAGCTAAAATGTCAAAGAACCCAAAAGACATTTGCTACCTTCTGGTGCTAAGTGGTGCCTTGAGGATGCAGCTATAGACTGCCTGCATCGCTGCAGCCAAAGAGCCTGCTGATCCAACAGAACAACACCCTCGCAATGGCACTTCGACCCCATTCTCTTTCCTCCCATACGTTCATCTAATGCCATCGAAACACCTCCTTTTGCAGCACCAGTTAGGGCAAATATACTGGGGTTTTTTTTGTTTTGTTTTCAAGGCAAGTGCAACCATTTCTCTGAAGCTACCTTAAAGAACCTGCATAGAGACTAGAAGGCTGATCTCGTTCTCTTCTTCTCAAACCCCACATTATCTTTCTTGGTATGAAGTTCCTTAAACTCAGCATGCTCTGAATGTCTTGACACTTCACTTAGAGAGGTAGGTCAATTCAGACAAGAAATAACCAAAGTAAATTAAACTCTTTTGGCTGAAGTTTAATAGCAGCTTTGCTTGAGAACTTGTTTGAATTCTTCTTCTACTGTATTTTTGCAGTCATCCCATCTATAAGGATGAGACATGTCAATACCAAGGAAAAAGCTTGACCTGTGGTATCTGCAGTCCACAAAGTATTGAGAACCTCTGTTCTCAGCAATTTCAAACACAGTATTTGGACAAGCTGTTGACTGTAGCCTGCTTATCTAAATCAAACTTGCAATACAAGGTTGGGTTAATTACAACCAATACTACTGCAAGAAGGTATTGTGATCAAGGCAATCCAGACAAAGTTTTCAATACTGTGATGTGAACAGAGCAGCTATCCCAATTCATTAATGAGACCCAACTCCCATTCACATCAGTTGGGAGAACACCTTTGGCTTTCTCCTGACCTAATCATGCCTTTTGCAGCCAGTTTACATCTCCAATAAGGAGCAGGAATGACAATGTCCAGTTTTACTAGACTACCAGGTCATCTTCATTCCCCAAGCACAAGAAAATGCTGGTGCTGGGAAACAGTGCAGTGCTGTTTTTCAGTATCCTTACATTTGATATATCAACACTTCCAGAACCCCCTGGAAAAATTAGTCTTGTATCATGTTTGCTTTGTCACAATAACAAACTTTCCATGTAACTCAAGTTGTTCCAGCGGTTTCTCCTCAACCTAGAAAAGTGCTGGAAGCAGCACAAGTTTCATCATTTTCCTTTCTTTCCCCCTCCACAGGCCCTGAGCAGAAATACTCTGTCTAAAAAAAACCTAGATGGCACTCAAATGGTCACACTAAGGATTTCCAGTCACATTGAAACAGTCTGGTAAGAAATGAAGGGGGGTTTGTATTTATTTACATATATATAAAAATATTTTTTAAAGGTCACAAGCCAGACTAATTTAAAAAAAAACAAACAAAGAAAAAACCAAAACACAACCACCCCCCCACTTAGCATATAACATTTGTTTAATACTAAGAGAAACTTACAGGCAAGACGTTAAGAATTACCAGATAAAGCTCTCTTGGACAGATCTCATCTCTACAGTAAACTAAGAACCTACATGCCCCACAACTACTGCTGGAAGCCAAAGACCATGATCTTTATCTTCCATATACTCTCACTACTTTTTTTCTAAAGTCTATCTGAGCACCATCAGTGCGCAGATCAGCAGATTTGGTATGACGCTTAGGTTCTTTCTGAAAATCAATCCAATGTATTAATGGTCAGATTTATGTTGTTTTTTCTAACCGTTTTGCCTTCAAGCCTTCTGCAGCCACCTCCTACTTCATGGGTATCAGGCAACTGGATATAGCCAAACAAAACACTACTTCTAAAACTTAATATTGTCTGTTGAAAACAAATGCTGTTCAAAACAAAAGGATGTATTTTGTTACTTTTTAAATTACCACAGATGACTTAATGTGAGTCATCATTTGATTTCCAATGACCTGATCTATTTCCCAGCTGAGATTTCTGCTCTGGACTAGCCAATTTGACGGGACCTCGCACAGCCTGGCTAAAGAGCCATGACTGCAAAGTGGTCGCAGGAGGAGCAAAAGCTTCTTGTGCATCTTGAGGTCGTAATCAGGACTGCTGCTACATGAGACTCACTGCTGCACATGTATTTATTACAAAGGCATTAAAATCACTGCGCTAAGAAATGTATTTATTTAAAAAAAACTCCAGTTATTTTTTTGAGTGTGGTTGGTCACCTACAACAGAGCTTATCTGGAAATGCATTAATGACCAGCCTCTGTCCTGCCTTCCCTTTTTAGATGGTAAAACTGGCACCTGCCAATGGCAGAAACCTGCTTTTTTGAATCTTAAGGAATTGCTCCACTGAAGCTGATTTCTCTTGCCATTTCCATGAGTCGCTGTGCAAGGGGAGAGCACATCAGCTCCTCAGGATGGCAAAAGAGGAACTTTAAATTTGCTTCAGCATTAGGGTAGGTTACCCAGACGTTTCCACACTGCCTGGAGGGAAACCGGGGATACATTCCCAACACATACATTTATTTTTCCCCTGAGGATTTTTAAAAAGACTCTCTATAAAGCTTTCCAATCCTTTCTAAAATCCTTGTTTCCATGTAGTAGATAGCCCCAATCTTAACTTCATTAAGAAACAATAAGAAATACTTTCAAAAAGAACAGGGGTGAAGCTGTATTAAGATACTGAAGATGGCCTTAGAGTGGGAAGAAAAGGCAATTCCCAAGTACTGCAACAAGGAAGGACCTGTAATATGACTACTATATTCATAACAACAGGTGCAGAAATCAGCACAGAGGACAGTGACCTGGAAGCACAAGCTATTTTCTTGAACACTTTAAGGTGTCCATGCTTCAGAAATGTTTCAGTATATTCAATATATGTACCTCTGCAAAGCAGCCACTCAAAGCAAGTTAAAAGTTTATTTCCAGGCAGCTTAAAATACTCCTTTGTACAGACACAAAGCTTTTTGGCCCCCCCCCCCCCCCCCCCCCCCCTTTTTTTTTTTTTTTTTTTTTTTAATAAAAGGGCTCCACATGTTGAAGGAGAGGGCTCTGTTTCACATTTTGGCAGATGGGCACTGCATGCACTGAAGGGTTTGAAAAATTACGTTAATGCTAACCGAGCCAAAACGTGTTTCAGACTTTCAACAGAAAATGCACACAGATCTATTCTTGCTCAAAGGGTGAGAATTGGCAGCTAATCACTTAAAAAACAAAAGTGCTCCAAAATTAATTACTAGCATATTTGTATGCCATACTTCTCACATTCTCTGTCTTGGCAGGCAAAACTGTTCTAGGGGGGGTATCAGTTTTACATTTCTGACTTCTGTGGAAAAAAATACATGAATGGTTTTAAAATTTGATACCAGTCTGGCTTCAAATAAAAAAGTTAGTTGTCCATCATTTTTACAGTTTCTAAATGACTGAGTCAATGTAATGCCAGATGAACTGTACAGCACATAAAATCTGGATGCTAAAGCCTCTGTATTTATCTCACATCCAGAACCAAAATGGGCAGCAACACTACAAACCTCCCTGCCAAACCTAACATGCATTACTCCTTGTTATGGCATTTCAGGTATGAAAGAGCAGGATCATCTCCAAAACAATAATCTAATCTCCATGGTCCACTGACTGTGATATTTCACACAAAGCCATCACCTGGATTGCAGACATAGAACTGGAAACGTAAGCCTTCTTGATGGGATCCAATAGTAACAACCCTTGGTACCCCGCACAAAATTTGCATCGAAGGCACCAGGCATCTGAAAATCCCGTAACCCATTTCTCCAAGTCCCTTTCCTCTCTTTTTGAAATGGACAGCAATAACTTTAGTCCCGCTCAAAGATTTTTACTTTTGAGGGAGTGACATGTACATTACAACGAACATTTATCCCAGTGCTTCTTCCTAAAGAAGGGACCTTTCAACGCTCACAGGCTACCTTGAGTGGTGAAATTGAAGAGTGCAGGTTTCTCTCGCCCATTTGGTAACTTGACATTTGGGTCCCGTAGTTCATCGAAGAAAGAGTGCGCACAGGCCTCCAAGGGAGTCAGGCGGGCAGTGGGGGTGTACTCCAACAGACGGCTACATAGCGCAATTGCTTCTGGTGGAGTGCGGGGCCGGAAGACCTAGGGAAAAAATAATAAAAAAAAAGGCAAGGAGAAACAGGTTGCCTGGGTATGTTTCTTTTCTTTGCTGACCAGAAGCAAGTCAGAGCAATTAAACCTCTCATGGCCCAACAAGCTGGAACAAACTTGTGGTTTGTGCTAATCAAAGTCCTCCAGTAAGTATGGGAAAATCCAGTTCCTGGGGTTGAGAAAGGGTTAATTGCAACATCTTGCACTAGAGTGAAGGTGCAATGCCAGCAAGAGACTTCATGAGAGCGCACTCAGGAAAACAACTTTAAGAATGAAGGAGAAACTCATTTGAAAATCATGATAAACACACACAGGTGCTACCAGCCATGCATATGAGGTGGAGTGAAGGTGGGGAGAAGGGTTCAAATGAGCAGGATTCACTGAATGTAAAAATAGAATAAGGCCCCGCTACGGTTTTGGGTTGGGTTTTTTTTTTTTGGCTAGTGAATGAAGTCTTACTAACGTGGACTTTTGCAGGCAGGCAGGTCAGATTGTTGCTATGGAGGCTGCTGTTCAACTTTGGAGAACAACAAGGAAAGCACGGGTGGGGTGCAGGAAACGTCTAGCTCTAATTTGCAAGTTACTCCTTCCGTGACCTTATTCTGGCAAGTCATTCCCATAAGTAAGTTTATTGGGGTAATTCCTGCACATTTGGTATTCGTAAGGACAGCTGAAAATTGTGTCAAGAGAACCAACTATTTGACTGTTACAGATTTTTACCTTGAGCGATTACAAAAAGGAGTTCTTCGCTGCAGCTTTCTTTTAAACCTCTAAGAACTGTTCTACCCACCGCTTGTCACACCCCTATCCTCCTTTCTCGTTACATCAAAAGCAAAGTATGAGTTAATCATGTACATGACCTGGATGGCCTCCTCAAGCACTTGTCTTTTGCTATGTTGCAGGCGATATGCAGGCTGGGGAAAAGGGAGTGGGGTGGGTGCGAGTGTTAAGTTCTGATGCCAGCATTTTTGGTAAAAATGGAGCTAATCCAAAATGCTTTTGCACCAGTGCAGGTGAACCCAAGCCACACAGCACCAAGGAGAAAAGAAAAGGGGAAAAAAAATTAAAAAAAAAAAAAAAAATAAGTGAATCACATGCTAATTACTCCCAGATGAGGAACTTGCACAGGCACTCCTTAAGTAGGTTTTAAACCAAAGATATATATGCTCTCTTGAATGAGAATCAAACACAAATGCTAAGTTCTCCAGGGACTGAAATTTCGTCTCTTTGGTGCTCAGCTGGCTCAGGAGCACCCGGGTTTGCTGCAGTGCGTGCTGTACTAACTAAATTGTGTGGCAGGGAATCCTGACTGGGGGAGTCAAAGAGCCAGGTACTGAAAGAGCAGAATTTATTTCTACTACCGGGTTATTGCAAGAGAAACCAAAAAAGTTTTCTCACGAGGCCTATAACGACAAAAAGAAAGGCTTTAGCGTAACGCTGCTGGCAGAGAACGTCTGCCGCCCACCGCGCCGTGAACGTACGGTCACGAGGAGGAACGGCAGAAGCTGCTTTGCGCCTGCTGCCTGCAGAGCTCAGATTGCTGACCACAGTCCACAACGGATGCAAGTATCACTCCCATGTCACAGCCTGACCAGCACAAAATCTAAGAGTGTCTCAAATTTAAAAAAAAAAAAAAGAAGAAAAAAGAAAACCAAACTCTCTCTCTCTCTTTTTAAAAAATGCCACCGTAAGTAGCACAAATGAGTATGTCTTGAGGTAAATCCACAGAAGTGAAGTCGCTTGGTATTTAACATGAGGTTAAAACTACTGAGGTCTCCCTCATGCACCTTTGTGCTGATGTTTTAACGGGCTTGATTTACCACAGCTTGAAACTGCAGTACTTCACTCTTAGCTGTGTTTCTCCCTCAGGACAGCTCACATATCAGCTACTCTACAGATTTTAAAAAAAAAAAAAAAAAAAAAAAAAAAAATCATCTTTTTCCTTAAGGCAAAGACAACAAGCCCTTATCTTGAGCAAATCAGCAGGCAGACAGTCACAAATCTGCCATCTATAAAAGGAGTACTTGTTTGTCCACTCTTAAACTCCTCAATTTCAGGTCAGTGAAACCCTAACATTCGTTTCCTAAACCCTGTTGAGGACTGCTCAGCCTGCCTTTGGATCTGAAATTAGTCACTTGGGGCAGGCAGTTCCCAAAGTCTGCCCTAACTGCTTCAAACCAGGGAGGGGGCAGGGGAAAAAAAAAAAAAAAAAAAAGAAAAATTAAAAAATTAGAAGGCCTCACATCGCCTCCCCCTGCAACAAGTGGTGACTAACACATGAAGTGAGTTACAGGTCTGTGCCCATCTCATCTCCATCACCTTGTGTTACAACATTGGCCTGGCTGCTGCCTCACGGATGCGGTTTGACCTCAAATATTCCACTTCTAGCATTTCTCTCCTTTTTTTTCAAGGCTAGGCCTAGTAATTTGAAAAAATGTTTAAGTACATACCCGTACTCCTGAGGTGAAATGTCCTGTTCCTGACGAGTCCTAAAGATGATAATGCAGTGAAATAATCCAAACAGGGGGAGTCAATCCAAAAGAGAATAGTCCAGCAAGGAAAAATATAGCCAATATTATAAGAAATCCATGGTGTGGGGGACATAGAAAATGTTTATACAATTAGAAACTTTAAACATCAGTCTCCATAGCAGCAAGTCCAACTTCACCACAGTGTATGCCAAAAAATCGATTGTGCAATGGTGAGGCATAGTATAGAAACATTTCTATATTAAATTTATGTTCCAATGCCAGTGCATTTACTAAAAAAATAAAAAAAATTGAAATCAAAACTCTAACTCGAACTAAAAGGGTAATTGAAATTCCCATCATAAAGAATTTTCAGTCCTCGGTCCTGGATATAAACGTCCGCAGACAATGGGGCCAGATTACTTTGTCCCCAAAGGTGCATCCCACTTGTAAATCTGTCCCAGAGACACAATGTAAACTTTTGGGTGGTTTGGGTTTTTTTCTAAAAAAACCAAACCCCTAGCAATTTATAATTTTTGCTGAAGAGAAAGTAAAAATCCGAGATCTGTACTTTGAATTTGGATGCTTTTAATTTGTGTGAGCTACGAGTGCCTCAGGCCGCCGCGGATTATTCTCCATTTTGGATTGACTTCCCCCGCCACTGGATTTTGTTTGCTGGCGTTATCTCTTTAGGATTCTTCAGGAACTGGACGTACCACCTCAGGAGTGCGGGTATGGACTGAATTTCTCTCTAGTGCGGGTTTATTCCCCCTCATACCCGTCGCACCCGTTACTTAAGAAATTTTTTTCCTCTCAATTTGTCCCCTCCCGCCTCCCTTTTGAATAACGCCCTAAGAAATAAAAGCAAAACCCCCTGCGGTCTTTTAGCTCTTCCCATTCAACACAGTTCCACCGGGAAAGCTGCCCAATTCGCCCACCGAGAACTACATGAGCGGCTGCCGCCTGCGGCAATGGGTACGCCAGCGCTTCCATGCCACGGGGCACCGACGCCAAGGCAATGCCGGGCCGGCGCTCCGTGGTGGGAAGGGGTGGGAGGACGGACAGACGGTGGGACTTGTGAGCCGGGAAGCCCCTTGCACGTACGGCTCAGCAGGAGCTTCAGGTCTCTGTAGTTCTCAGTGAGGGAATCGTTTTTAGTAAATAATCCGCGGATTATTTTTAGTCTGCGGACTAAAATTTAGTGCACGGACTAAAATCCGGCCCATCGGAGCAAAGTCTGTCTCGGTCTAAAATACATCTGGGTGAAAGCAAAAGAAAAAAAAATTTAAAAGAAAGAAAAAAGGAGAAAGGAAAAAAAGGAAAAAAGCTAAGTGCACAAAGTAAAGTGTTTGGGCGGACTAACATTTAGTATGCAGACTAAATATGGCCGGGCAAAAGGCACAGCAAGTCCACAAACAAAAAACAAAAATAAAACACTGACAGGAACTTTTAAAGCAATCAAATACTACCCCACCGGCGCAGCAATTCATTTTTCTAAAATGAAACAAGACCTTGTGTAAGGCTATTTGTCCACAGGAGGGACCGAAGGCTCAAGTTTTCATTTTAAAAAATGAACCTGTTTTGGAGATAAACAAATGCAAAAAAAAGGCTTTACATACAATATTCTTCAAGGAAAATTTGCACTTGCATAACTCAAAACCTCTTGTTTCTGCAAAGCAAATGAATTTCAGGCTGAGACCCAGGTCACTGGTTTTTTGTTCGTTTGGTTTTTTTTTTTTTTTTTTTGGATGAGTTACAAAAATCTCTGAATGATCATGTCAAATGGAAATGCCGACTCATCCAAAGCCACAGCTTTTGGTGCTTTTGTTTCTCCCCCCGCCCCTTCAGATCCCAATAAATCTATACCTCACCAAAAAGCTGAGGGACCAGTGCAAGTTTGTTCTTTGTTCAGGCATGCTGGTGATGCTCAAATGCTGACAGACCGTAACAGCTAGACAGCAAGGCCAGACACACTCCTCTCCTTTCTAAGTCACGCTGCTATCAATGCAAATTTTTTTATGTTACTCCCCCTTCATTTTTCTGGAACTACCACTTCTTCAACATTCCAAAAATGATTGCCCAGCTTAAATGCCGCTGGTGCACTATGTGGCTCTCGTCCCCAAGCGCCTTCAATCTAGATGAAGTCTTTGTGCACTAGCAGAGCGGTCACATTTTGTCTTACAAGTTTGAAATAGTTCCTACCAGTGTAGCGGAGTTCACACCGGTTCTGAATTTTATTTTATTTTTTTGGATGCATGGAAAGACGAAAGAAAAAGGATGGAAAGCAGAGGATTCTCCTATTTCGCTTCACTCGCATCAGCATTCAGCTCTCAAATAAGACCACATGGGGCAAGGGCTAAGTATTGTTTTAACAGAATGGTTGCTCTGACTTTCAGTTCATTGACATTCTTCAAACAGACTTTCCATGCACAACACGGAGCTCCGTCGTCTTGGTCTAATTAAGCCCCAAAGCCAAAGCTTCACAATGTTACACCAAGGTGCTCTTCTAGCCAGTGTGTATTA